AGAGAGAGAGAGAGAGAGAGAGAGAGAGAGAGAGAGAGAGAGAGAGAGAGAGAGAGAGAGAGACCGAGAGAGAGAGAGAGAGACCGACCTGCTGGCAAGCTGGCGGCGGCGTCGACTGGGGGCGGCTGGCTGCGACTCCTAGCGGCAGCTGCTCGACGGTGGCTTCAGCGAGGCTTCACTCGTGGCGGCTGGTTGGCGATGGCTACAGCGCGGGCTTCGGCAGATGCAGCGAGGAGTCGAGGACACATGAGGGAACTGGCAGCAATGGCGGGCGGGGGATTCGAAATCGGCAACTTTGAAATTACCCCGCCAACAACCCAATACCCCGCCTCGAACACCCAACACCCATCCGGACTCACCTGTGTCCGGTAGGCCGAAACGTACCTGAAAAATCAGGCCCGTATTTTTCAGGGGGCGCCCAGGGTTGCCCCTTGTTTTTTTCCGAATTTTTGCCTGGCCCACTCTCGCCGGACGTTCGGTACCGGACACTGGACCCGGACATTTGGATCCGGACTTTCTGGAACCGGGTCTGGATGTCCTGTCGGTTACCATTCTGTAGATCCTTCCAATGGGAAGCAATCGATCTGTCACAATTCACCGGGCCGTAACGCGGGGAAGTGCTCAAATGGGGTGCGTATGTATTGCTGACTTGCCGGTGGAACAGGAACCGGACTGACGCTCTCCAGAACCAGGCTCAAGAGGGCCAGTCTTTGAAAATGAATTAAAGAAAAGAAAAGAAAAGAAAAGAAAAAATGCCAGAACCAAATGAACGAAATTCTTGAATTACCGAGGGGCCGGCAGTTCCACTATGAGAGCTCAAGGCTGCTGCCCTTTTTTTTTTTTTTCGAATGCCAGTTCATTGTTTTTGTAGTATGCATGCTCGGTAACTAAAATCTCTGTGGGGGGCAGGCCATGCTGAAGGATGGTACACATGCTGAAATCCTGGTTAGATTAGATGGGTGCAGTGATACTAAGGCTACTTTGACAGAAAGAGAAAATGTTGGTATTGCTCTGGTGTAAGTGGCTTCTGTTTGCTGTTCATCTATCCCGATTTTCAGCAGTTTGTTTATGATCTTGGAGGATACTCTCAAGCCGAAACCGGGCAATGGCCCCGGTACTTCAGTTTGTTAAAAAAAAAAAAAAAAGGCTGGGCTGGGAACCGGCTGGTTCAGCTCGCCTTTAACCGGGGGGGACCTTGCCAGGGGGGGTGAACCGGGAAACTGGTTTAACCGTTTAACAAAAAAATGCAGATTTTTTTTTTCTTTTTTTCTTGGCGGATTCTGACTGCGCTGCCCTCGATCTGTCGAAATCCGCTATAAACTTTTGAAATTTGAATGTGCGAAGTTTTTTGAGGGGGGGTTCCCAGGGGAGGGCGGGGTATTACTGGGATGACCAGGTATAGCTTTCAGGGGGTGGGGTCGAGTAAGCAAGCTTACTGGGATGAGCAGGTATAGCTTTCAGGGGGAGGGGTCGAGTAAGCAAGCTTACTTATCTGACCCGTCTGTGGCCCATAAATTGCAATTCAGGGGTTATTCAGCACCATAAGGATATTATGGCATATGCCACCATACATCAGTACCCCATAGGCTGAACGACATGTGCTGGGAGAAGGACCTTGCCAAAAGTTACAGCTCTTCCAGAGTATGGTTCGACAGCGGAAAACTTATGGGTTTAGGTCTCAGCTCATAACTCTTTCCCCAGAGCATAGGGACGTCGCAGAAGCTTATAATTTCAGCAAAGCCACATTAATTGGAGTCTGCTTTCCTCCTGGCTCGGGGTGGACTAGCATCGAGACCTCCCAAATACATGTGGTCCATGGTCTGCTAAACCACATGGTGCCAAATTGACAAATGGGTCCTATTGGACCCTGCAGCTTCAGAAAAACGCGCGGCTGTTCTCCGCCGCTGATCTTCACGATCCTCCGCCCGTTCTTTTCAAGAAGTGGGGTGTAGGTAGAGCGTTTTCTGTTTTTTTTTTTTTTTTTTTTTTTTTTTACATATGGTGGTCTTCAGTCTGAAAGTATCTTGCCTGGCTGTCTGTCGAGATACATGTAGTGGAGGGAGGTCGATTCTTGGGCTTGCACCTTGGACAGCGTTCTTACTCTGACTGCTCGACCTGAAACCCAAACCCATAACTCTTTCTGCGTAGCGTAGGGACGTTGCAGACGCATATAACTTCAGGAAAGCCACATAAATTGCAGTCTGCTTTCCTCCCGGCTCGGGGTGGACGAGCATCGAGGCCTCCCAAGTACATGGTCCATGGTCTGCTAAACCACATTATGCCAAATTGACAAATGGGTTTTATTGGACCCTGCAGCTTCAGAAAAAACTTGCAGCGGTTCTCCGCCACTGATCTGCGAAGATCAGCGGCGGAGATCCTCCGTCCGATCTTTTCAAGAAGCGGGGTCCAAAAGAACCCAATTTTTTTTTTGAGTAGGTAGCAGCCTCCCGGAGGCTGGACAATCGTGGGGACGGCTGCAAATCGCTGGTACCCCCCCTCCCAACTTCATGCACTGGGTTGGACCGGGGGCCTTCTGTGGGGGGCGGTGGACCACCCGGTCCGATCGGATCGCTCCCGGTCGGAGGAGGGCCCCCCGGTCCATCCGGGGGACCAGCACTGGTTTGTAACAGTTTTCAGTGTTTTCCCTAACGAACAGGGCCTACTATAACAGAAAGAGAAGATGCTGGTATTGCTCGGGTGCAAGTGGCTTCTGCTCTTTCCCTTTTGCTGTTTATGCCTTTTCCCAAATCAACAGGGCCTGGTGGTGTCGCTCGTGGTTGTGGCTCGTTTCTATTCTTGGGAGCTTGACTGGTACATACATGTTGATGGAGACTGGAATCCTGATTATATTACATGGATGCGATAACGTTAGGGGCTCGTGCATTGGAAAGGTTGCTTCGGTTCTTGTGGCCACTAGGGTCCATTTATTTATTTTTTGAAGAACCTCCATGGCCTTTAATGTCAGCCATCGATGTCACCATATCGGCTGCTGAGACTTGGAGGCGGGCCTTTGTGAATGCTGTGGAATTGTTGTATGTCCATTGGAATTGAATGCAGTGCAACCATTCCCATCTGACACGGCGCACAGCCAGTCAGTTCAGTTTTTTCTAGTCATCACCTTTGTCCTGCCATCATTGCCTTCATCCATTTGCCGCCGCCATTGTCCTGGGAGACCCCTCGCACCATCATCGTTGGCCTCGTCCTATCCTCACCTCTCCCGTTGATGCCTTTCTTGCCCAGCTCGTCTCCCTGTTGCCACAAATGTTGCCATACTCGCCAGTGTCCTGCCATCATTGCCATCATCCAGTTGCCGTCGCCATTGTCCTGGGAGGCCCCTTGCACCATCATCGGCGCCATCGTCCTATCATCACCTCCTGTCATTGCCTCCCTTGCCCAGCTCCTCCTCATGTGATCTTTTGTTTTTCTTCTGCCTCTTCTTTCTCTTCTTCTACATCACTCTCCATCTCCTCCCATCTTCTCCATTCCTCCTCCTTCCTCCACGTGTTGCCTGTCCACACGGCCCTATCGTAGAGAGAGAGAGAGAGAGAGAGAGAGAGAGAGAGAGAGAGAGAGGAGAGGAATTCTTATTTTTTCTGCTTCTGCCTTCTACATCGCCCGATCGCCTCCCAGCTCTCCCGTCCCAGCTCCCAACAAAGTCCAAAATTATAAAACAGCCCAGTTTTGAGCAAATCTCAGTGGGCGCAGTACATCCCCACTCCGAAAAAAGGTAAAATGGTACTTTTTGCTTGCCTAGAATACCGTCGGTGGGGGGCCAGCCCAGGCGACTGGGCGGGCCTGTAACCCATACCTACATGTATGTCATTGTGACTTGTTGTACAAGTCGTGCTCTTTCTCTGGGCGACAGCCAGCGGGGGCAACTCGACTGGGTGGTTGGCTGGGTGGGCCAGGTAACCCAGTTGGTGTATTTGACTTATTGTACAAGTTTGGCCTGTGATCTTTCTTGCAGGAAGTGGGTGCCCTAAGTTGCTAGAAATAAAGGTGGAGGGTACTCCAATGGAGGGCTGTACTGTAAAGGGTGTGGTGAAGATTGCTTGGTGTGGAGGTGTTCCTGCAAATGGCGTTATCAGGTCAGCCATAGTTTGCGCTACGAGTTCAGGCCCTTGATGTTTCATCCCTGCTTGAATACTTTGCCACCGGAAAGCTGTGTTTCCTATTCTGGCATGTCCACCCTCATTTCTGGAACTTGCTGTGGATATGAAACTAGTACTGATCCCCCCCGGCTTCCTCAACTAGAATGTGCCGGCATTGCTTTTTCTTCCCTTTTAGTATGCTTCCCATGTGTTTTGATGTGCCATTGAGTATATATGGGTGAATCATCTAATGCAGTGTTTCATGGAAAGCTTTCTCAGGGTTGCACAATATTGTTGATTGCAAATTTCTCAAATGGTCATGGTTTTGATACGAAAGGCAGTTATGCCATGAAGAGCTTTTTCCTCTTTGCACCATCCTTTTTGGGTCTCGCTCGCTTGCAGATGGCGTGATCTCCCTTGCATGCCCGTGGTTCTAACAGTGAAACCCTTCTGGAATTTTAGTTTTAGTTAATTAATGCAGATTGCGTGCTGCTTTGAGAAATTCAAAGTGCATCCTCCCTCTCCCTGATTGTGTCCCTGCTTCTATTCTCATCTCAGGTGTCAAACCCTGTTCTGACATGCCGCTTCTGTATGCAAATTAGAACCGGTTATCACCGAATAACTTACCTGTTGCCGCTCCGCCCGCAAAGAAAACCTAAAATTTGCAAATGAAAGCCAAGAGTATTAGAGGTATAAAATATGAATAAAGTATTCAATCTATCTGCTTGGCGTTTGCTGTTCAATACAAAACATACGAGCACCCGTAATGGTAGTCGTGCATCTTGGGCATTTCTCGGAAGACTTAGGGCGAAGACGAAACCGAGCGGCAAGTGTCCGGATCAGATTGTGGACAGATGTGCGTGTCCGTGTTGTGGGTGGGTGGGTATGTACGTGTGTGTGTGTGTGTGTGTGTGTGTGTGTGTGTGTGTGTGTGTGTGTGTGTGTGTGTGTGTGTGAGCAAACTCCCAAGTAGCGTTGACGTCGAGCGAAGTTGAGCATCGAGCCCGCCCAAAATAAAAACACGCTGCGCTCAACTTCCCGCCCCCCTCTATTGACCAAAGAGAGAGAGAGAGAGAGAGAGAGAGAGAGAGAGAGAGAGAGAGAGAGAGAGAGAGAGAGAGAGACCCGCCCCCTCTATGGACCAAACAAAAAGAGAGAGAGAGAGAGTAGCAAAGTTGAGCATAGGAGCATAGAGTAAGAATATTCTTTAAAAGACAATTTATGCAAGGAAAATGAACAGAAGCGAGATGATAATATTCAGATTGCACAATCACATTGAAAGCCAAATCGTAAGACAGTGTACGGGAAGCAGCATTGCACCAATATAACACCAATGGAGAATCGTAGTACTGAATGTCAATATCAATGAGAGCTTGCTCTCGCCACCACCAACACATGTATCCAGTCTCTATCTCCCTACCTGGCGCTCGGCAGCCAGCCTATTCCCTACACAGCGACTATTAGCCTACTAATTGACAATGCAACTGTTGACGTCAGCAGCACCCGAAGTACTCAAGATGTCGCCCATGCAGAACCATCGCCAATACCAGGTATGTGCTCTCACATCATCGTCATCATCATCCTTCTCTCTCTCTCCCTTGTCTCTCCCTTATGTCTTCCCTTCTCTACAACCGAAGACCACCCCTGCGCCTCACTGTATGTCCAAGGCCACAGCCAGCTATGGAGGCTGGGCTATGGCGCTGCCCTCAGTAGTGCCATGCTTCACCACACGACCGCACGTGCGCAGCCTCTTGCTCCAATGCTAGCAGCCAGCACGCGAGCTATCGCTCCAGCAGCGCTGCCGCCAGCCAGCAAGAGGCTGCACATGTCAGAGCTCGCAAACATTGTTCTACCTAAGACTACACTAGTCGCAATTGTATGTAAGTCTGCATATTGGGACAGTGCGCAGCGGCTAAGGCAATCTGTAGTATCTAGCTTAGCCATTACGAAAGCATTAGTGTGTCAGGACTACATAACAGATGTAGCCGGTGCTTCCTCCTATGGGGGAAGCCAGCTAAAGACAATATTTTAGCTGCCGAAAAGTCCTAACCTTCGTGTTAGGTACCACTTCAAGGTTGCAATGTTCCTAGTTGGACAGAGGCAATCACGGTGGGAAATAGACTTAGTCTTTAATCCTTGGAGGGGCAGGTCCTCCAAACCTCTGTAAAGTAAGAAAATAAGTGTTACAGAGAGTTCAAACCTTCTTACTTACCTTCAGGCGTTGAAACCAGAGAGGGTGTTCAAAAGATAGGAACAATTCCTCCTATTGTGGGATAGACCTATAGAATACTGCCTATAATGCTGGACAGCGACTGGCAAAGCTAGGGAAGAAGGAATGGATAAGGCCATATGCGTTTTCCTATAAATCTTCAAGTGTATTAATTGATAAGAAAAAGAAACAGGGACGTAGAGACCAAGGATCCAAAGAATAAAAGAATATAAAAATTAATAACATGAATTTATAGGAGTATCCTATAATAAATGATTGAGAATAACTTATTTTTAGAAAGACAATGTGATGTGGCAGCATACGTCAGGAACGAGGGAACTTCAAAGACTCGACTCTAACTGTTTGGGATATCGGGTATGATAGTTAATGTCCTTCATTGTTTAATCCGATCTGTGCATCAAATATATTTACAACTGGAGAGATGACAAGAGCAGGATGTTTACATAGAGGACCAGTTCCCAAAGTATCTTAGGAGAGTCGCCATCTCTCAGATCACCGGGAATGCGTTGCTGGACTGCACAAAGACCGTTAGTACTAGAGATGATCTCTTCTCCAGCGAAGGTAAAAGAAAGTGAAACAAACAGATAGTTGTGTTGAAAGCGTAGACCAACGACAGACTTACTCACATTAGAAAACCAATCAACGGCGGCGCATGTCAGCTTAAAAAGAGCTGACGAGCGGCTACAATAGGTTTTCAATTTACATATGGGATCAAAGACGATCCACAGTCCACACTTCATGTAGGAGGAGTCTGATTGTTGTTTCCTCACTTCACGTCACTAAGAATACTATATTCTGGTTAATGAGTAGTCCAACATGCAATGCAGATGCCTGAAGTCTTTGGAAGAACATCTTGAGGTCATCGATGGAGTCGTCAAATGATTCATGCTCTTTCCTGCGATGTCCAGATCACTAGTTACCTAACCATCTATCCTGCCATCTATACAACTGTTTCGGACTCCAAATACATGCCTGAAGAAGGTGCATGCTGCCCCCAACCATAGCTGAACACATCAACGACAAGCTCTGGAGCTGTGAAGCTGTATGTTCCAAAGTTCAAACCACGGAGAAGGCTTCAAATTCCATCAGAGATTCTCAACAAGCTGACAACTTTAAGCTGAATAACAGATGGAGTCAACAAAAGGCTTTCTCATGGGACTTTCGAAGCTAAGGGGGAAGGTATTGGAGGGTTTAGTTCCTCGGCAGTGTCTGAAAGTGCCGTGCCCGCCCTAAGTGAAGGCGGGCCTGCAAATATGTGCCTATGCCTGTTTATAGGGCTATGAGACCAGGCTGAGGGGGCCCAAGCAGAGCCTGTTGTAAACCCCATGTGGGCATGGATCTTCGACAAGGCCTTGATATGAGTTGCCTCCTTGGCATGCCCCTGTAGAGCCTTTTCAGCAAGCATGAGCCCGCCCTAAGTGAAGGCGGGCCCTGAATTTCAATATGGCCTGAGTTCGTCAATTTTGGCAAAGTTTGGTGGGCGCCAAACAGTTGCCATGCGCCGGTTGGTTACATCCTCCATACTCGTGAGAATCAGAAATAACTCTTGAGCCTTCTAGGCTCTTCCAGCAGCACAGGCGAAGCAGGGAGAACCTCACGTTTACTCCTGGGTAGTTGGGCAGGCTCAACCAATTCGGTCCCAGGCCACTGTCTGAATGGGCCTGGGCGCAGACACTTTGGCCCGATTGGAAGCTACCGGAAATACACGAGGCCCAGCCAGGGAGCAGACTGGGCGAGCACTTTCCATAAAGGAAAGAGCTCGCCACTGGTGGAGGCATTCGGGCACTAGGCAGTGCATGCGGCAGCGCTGCTTGAGCGTGCGCTCACAGGCTGTGCGTTGTGCGCTAGCGCTAGCTGCCAGGCAGTGCACGCGGGCACTGGAGGGAGGCAGGGCACTGCCGAGGGCAGCTCCACAGCCAGCCCTACATAGCCAGGGCTTGGCTTGGACAGCCAGTGGAGGTGGTGGTGGTCTTCATGCATAAGGGAGAAGACGTGGGAGGAAGACAAGGATAGGGAGAGAGTGAAAGAGATGAGGATGATGATGTGAGGGCGCATGCCTGGTATTGGCGATGGTCTGCATTGGTCGACATCTTCAAGTACTTCGGTGGCTGCTGACGTCAACAGTTGCATTGTCAATTCGTAGGCAGGAAGTAGCTGTGTAGGGATTAGCCTGGGCGCTGAGCGCCAAGTAGGGAGAGAGGGCCTGGATACGTATGTTGGTGGGGACGAGAGTAAAGCTCTCATTGACATTCGGTTTCAGTGTTTCAATTCTCCATTGGTGTAATATTGGTGCAATGCTGCTTATCTGGACACTGTGGGACTTTCTTGCTTTCAATGTGATTGTGCTATCTGGAGTCTGTCATCTCGCTATCTCTCATTTTCCTTGCATTTACCACTCCATAAATAATTCACCACGAACTAATACAGGGGGGGCCAGGAGTACGTTGATCGTAGAGAGTCGTAGTAAGGCCGAGCGTAGAGTAGCCCATCTGCGCCCACCTTCCCCCTCCGCTGAGTCCTCCTGCCCACCGCCGCCACCTTCCCACCTCCCTGGCCGCCTTTCCTGTCTTGAGAGAGAGAGTAGCAAAGTTTTTTTTTTTTCTTTTTTTTTTTTTTAAACTATACTCTTCTCTCAATTTTTTCCTCACACTACCTACCTACCTCTAGGCATACGGGGAAACCCGTAGCATACCAGAGCCGTGTTTTTACGGCCCCTCGAGCCTGCAGGATACCGGCCAGGGGACAGCCGGTAGCACCAGGGATAAAG